TTGTTTACAGAACATATGCAAATATCTATAATAATTTTTTGCGTCATTGCCAAAACAGAAAAAAGGCATACGGCGTTATTCTAGCCTTGTGCATTAATGCATTCACGACTTTTCAAGTTATTTAATAATAATTTATAATTAAGACCTTCGCTAATAATCACCACCAAAAGATCAAAAAGAGTTATTAAAGTATTATAAAACACGACTATTATTCATGGTATTCTTAGTAACTTTACAGAAATTTTCTAAAACCGTTTGCGAGGTTCACACCTTGTGGACTGATAAATTAAAATTTAACGCAGGTGCAGGTCAGGGGGGGCCCAAGAGCGATGCGTAGTGCAGGGAGAAAATTATGCCACCTGCGCATGACGTCATGTGGGTGACAGTCGTTAGTTCTCGGCGTTTGTTTACATTCGTTGCATTTGATCTGGGATACATTTGATTTGTGTTGTTAATTTGCATTTATACCTAGTCGGAAATGGCAAGTTGTGTTATAGCGTTGTGTCAGAATTATAGAAGGAAAACTAAAAGTCAAGGCATCACATACCATCGTTTTCCAAGTGATCGTAAGTTATGGACTATTCGCTGCAAAAGAGCAGATAATTTCAACATCGAAAATGCCAGAATATGTGCTATTCATTTTATCATAATTTTCCTTTTATGAAGGAGACTTATAGCGAGATATTTAACCTCAGTGTCGTGTTTACCAATAGTGACTACCTGAATGATTAGTTGATAAATTCGCTTATCCAAGTTAATTCACATGTTTTGGTTACTTTCTTTACATCCCAAAGTAATTCTATGTATTGAAGCAAGTCTGGGTTAAGCATTGAGAACTAGTAAACTGATACATGCTTCAGAAGAAAGAACAATTTCTCGACCACACTATGATGCAAACATCGATGAGCGAGCAACATATTTCCTTCAATGTTGTTTAACTGATGCATATGTCTGATGTAATTTAATTGATATAACTAAGTGAACTTACACATGCTGACTCTGAAGGAAAACAAATCTGTGTATAATGCTAGAATACAATAGCGAAAGAGTAAGTAGATACTCTTCAGTGTTATTTAACTGCTGCATATGTTTTAATTTTGATTCCATATACTTGTTTTTAATTTAAGAGAAAGAAAAATAATTTAATATTGAACACATATTTTGAGTAAACAAAAGTATTTTAAGAAACAACCTGATAAAAAATACATTAGTAATTAAAAATATTTAATTTGTGTACAGGCTGAATTGAAACTAAGATGTGGTGGTGTATTTAATTATGGCAAAGCACACTAGGGCTATCTGCGTAATAGGTGTGATGCCTTCTTGGAGGACTTTCTCAGGTAAACTGGCTCGTATACACATTACACATGAGGAAAACCACGAAAAAAACGCCCATGCAGCCAGCCCGTTCGCGGGATTCGGACCGAACTACCAGTGTTCAAGCGACTTTACCGCTCAGCTGCTGGTGGGCTGAAACTAAGATGTATGGCAAGTTTATTATTATTATTATTATGCGTATATGTTAAGAAAATGTTTTTAATTGTTCCATTTTTAATGTATGGAAGGAAGAATAGGATGCCGATATCGAAGATTATTTACTATAGCAAATAATCACGTCAGGATAAATGTTATATAGAACTCTGGGAGTGTAAGGGGTTATAAGAGTACTTTTAGATTATACTGAAAACTATGCACTTCTGCTAAAATCTGAAGTGAATCAGTATGAAGTGACTTTTCACTTTAAAAAGAATGTGATAAGTATACTATTTAAAAGTATAATGACGGATATTAAGAAATTGTAGAATTTTATGGTATTTAAATATGAATTGTTAAGTCAAATCTTTTTATATATATTTTTGCTTGAGATATGTAAATTAACTGAAAATCACGATCATATCTTTCTCATGGAATGTCAAGTTCATTTGTATTAAAAAAGTGCATGAGCAATGAAAATAAATAGAACAATACTTTTTTATTATGTTTTTACCATGGTCTTAGCAGTTATGCATCATGTGTTCTGTTCAACAAAATTTATTTAGTGCAAACAATACTACGAAAATATTGAAAAATACCTTGTTTTACAATATTTGATTTCCCTTAGTTAACTTAAATATCGTTTTTTCATTTTCTAAGGCTTCCCTTTACGAAAAGAATTTAATGTTTAATAATTATTTTCAGCATTCGTACGAATTCTATGCATAAAATAAACATTTTCTTTAAACAAAAAAATACTTAATCGGAAAGTATATACCCGGTATTTCCGGTGTATCTACCACATATAAAATGATCATTTTGCTTTAGTTTACATTTTTTCCATTACCAAAATCATGTAGCCAGACGCGTCGGCCGATGCGTCCTGTCTCCCGGGTGACGTCACTACCAGCAACCAATGGCACGCTTTTTCCGTTCCTGGCCTAACCTTAGTATATTAAAGAACCTTGGGTGCAGGTTAACCGGTTTATTCCCCTACCTCAGAAGTGGAGATGGGCAGGTATGTCTTTCAAAAAATTTTACCGTGTTTTCTGAGATAATGAAATACGAAATCAACCATTGGAAGGTCTTCCTTATATGGATTGTGGAAAAAGATACGCTATATTTTCTAATTTAAGAAGGCGCGTAGCAAATCTTCATGCCGCAAATTCTCTGGCTATTTCTTTGGAAACGGTTTTACTTCCCTTAAATAACAGTGAGATCACATCAACTCTTCATGATAAAGAAGATCAACAGAAATGAAAAAAAGAAAAAATCCTAGAACAATAACATTGTGCTCTTTAAGATACTGATTCCTTTGAATAGTTCCGCTGTATCGGTAAGGCTGTGCGATGTACCCGGCTCTTGGTTATATATGGCTTAAAGAGATGAACCTTATAAGAAATAGACTAACCAAAACGGGTTTTCTCCCTCGTCTGAGCCGTTGCCGGCTGTCACCTTGATCACATCCGGAGGAATAGGGACGATTTGCAGAAATTTAACATTGGTTGCCTATTGCAGCGTATATAATTGTCAATAAAAATCTGGTTGTAGCGCCTCATTTCACAAATTAGAATTTCTCCATATTTTTAATTTTGAAATTCAGATTGATTTTTAAAAATTTGGCATATTTATCCAGCATAATTAACGTTCCAAATAATTATAAAGCTATTGCATGCTTTCAGGGCTGGATATATTTTTTTTTAGCTTTTCCTATGCTGTAAGGAAATTTGTAACTATTTCTTTTAGAAAAAAATATTTTAAAACTGAACTAATAGAAAATTTCAAATAAGGAATTTTCTCCTGCAATTTTTATGCTTTTTATTGTTGTAAATAAGTAAAAATACTAAAATATTTAAAAACGAATTTTTGAAAGTTTTGTTTAAAATTCTAAATTGTGCTGCTTTTTTTAAAATTATAGATGAGTATTATAGCACAATTTCTATAAAGGAATTTTATTTCAATTATATTTCATAATACATCATAGTGATAAACACTTTTGACTCCTTAAAAATTTTTATACATTTAATCCTAATATCAAAATTGTATTTAACCGTAATAATTAATTTTGCTTGTATTTTATAGTGATTATTTTTTTAATTTATTTTTAGTTCTGCATAAGATCTTTTTTCTTTATTGCTAATTTAATTTATTAGGCCAAAGGGGCAGTAGCCTAGAAAGGCTGTTAGTTTCGAAGTGACATTTTGCGCTGTTTTAATGTCCATGTCTCCTTGTAAATTGTTGTTACCAAATATTATCGCCCTGTATTATATTTAAAGAAATTAAATAATGAAGAATCTGCATGAATGCATGTATGTTTCTCGCACTGTGACAAAAACGACAGTATCTTGAGCCATCAAATTTTGAATAATGTGATCCTCCACCCGAACATGGGCATCTGGACGGCCGAATTTCGAATTTGTTATATTTTGTAAAACTTTGACAAATTTTTGATTAACAAACTCAACGAGTTCAGAGCGAGCACTGTACGGAAAGTAACAGTTTTATCTCGAGCGGAAATTCTAAAGATATGCTGTTTTCAAATGTATGAGGTTTACGGGCGAAGAACATGGTATTCAATAAATATAGGTACTACACAAAACGTTAAAAAAGTTTCCTTTTGAACGTAATATAAAATCTGAGTGCGTCTAGATTTTATTTTTTTTTTTTACCCTCTTAATTACGCTCAGAAAATTTTATGCTCCGAAATTTTTGAATTATTAAAATAACTAATCCACGTTAATGTTAATAATTTAATGATCATATAATCAAATAAATATGATCGTTTTGTAATGTTATTATAGTTTGGAAAATTACTGTCTGAAAATGTTCATTACATTTTTTTAAAAAATTATCAGATCTTGTTTAGTTTTACCTTATTTATTTCAAAGCATCCCGTACTATCAATCTTATTTAATTTTACTTTATTTTTACGCAAAATTAAGTTCATAAATTTTGTGCTTAGAGTTTTACCGTTTTACCAAAGTAAAGATGTTTTTACAAGAATTACGCGTGAAAAAAATGCGTGAAATGCAGTAAAAAGTGCTTTAATGAGATGTATTAAATCCTATTTTTGGCCTATTAAAAAACTGTGGCTTTCATAATCTCATCACTATACAACGTATCACATTTAATAATTAAAAAAGTTATAACTTAGTTATGTGATACAAACGCCATAGGTTTCAGTGTTAAAGTAAACCAGATCGTCCCTACTCTTTCTTGCCGACATGTCGGTGACGCGCGCCCCGCACACTGGGTTAGTCTATCTCTTATAAGGTCCATGCATCAGCGCCTCGTGCCAGTTATTACTTCAGTTCATTTCACAACATCCTTTCCACCCCTAGAGACTTAGGTTGAGTCTCAAGCTCATAAGAAACATTATTTAAAAGATCAAGTCTTTTCTGTTTATCTAGTGTTTTTAGTATTGATAAAGAGTTTACTTTTATTGAACATTCCAAATTAATCATGTCAAATAGATATTTTAACTTGCGAGATTTTGAAAGCAATGTGGCTGGTACAAATGTTGACAATCATTCAGGGGATACTTCCCGTTTTGGAGGTAATTTGGAATTGGGTAATGATATGATGAGGTGCTGCACAGATACAGATACCTGTGATACGAAAATCACAAAGAGGACAATTTTGATCCTATTGGTTTATTAAGCCAACTACATTGCTTCCGAATCTGCTGTTGAAAAAATTGTGGAAAGTGAAAATTGCATGGGATGATGAATTGTCTCCAAACGATGTAAATACATTTTTGAACTGATTTAAAGAACTTAATGTTTTGAAAGATGTTACTTTGCCTCGATACTTGTTTATTAATGCCACGTCTGAACTACATGTATTTGTGGATGTTTGCAAAGGAGCGTATGCAGCGTGCGTCTTTGTTCAATCAGTGTTTAATTCTGAGGTAAAAATAAATCTTGTACGGGCGAAGTCTAGATTATCGCCTTTGAAACCTTTAAGCATTCCTCGCTTAGAATTAATGGTCTGTTGTATAGGTTCTAGACTTGCAAATTAAGGCTCTCAGTTTGCCCGACTTAAAACTTACCCTCTGGTCTGATTCCACCACTGCCCTTTGGTGGATAACAGAGCAAGAAAGTTGGTCCGTTTTCGTCGAAAATAGGATTAAATAGATTCGAGAGTTGACGAGAGGTCATTCATGGACACATGTTCCAGGGAAACTGAATATTGCCAACTTGTTATCACGCGGATATTTTGCGAAGCAGATGCTTCGGTCTAGATGGTGGGAAGGCCCCTTGTGGTTGCGAGAAGGCCCTGAAAACTGGCCCACTGGTGAGATTATTTGTTTGCATGAAGAAGTAGAATTGGAGAGGAAAAAGATAAAAAATAGTGAATATTGATCTATCAAAAGACGCACCCCCTTGGCAGCGAATCGGTGTATCCAATTATGATAAAATGATTAGAATATTTGCATGGATATTTAGATTTGTAAATAATTGTAAAGATGCTTCTGAAAAGAATAGAAACATTGAACTTTCACAGTGTGAAATTGAAAATTATGACAAAATTTTAATTCGTTTGGTTTAAAATTATTATCTGACTGATAAGAAATCTTATAATTTTATTGAAACGCTCATTGTTGATGAGGGTATTCTGAGAATTAAAACGAGAATACTAAATTAGAGATGACCATGAATCTTTTATGTATCCAATACTGTTGCCAGAAAAATGTGATTTCACTAAGTTATTATTCAGAAATGTACATAATAAGAACTGTCATGCTGGTCTTCAGATGATGCCATGTATATTACGAGAGAGATTTTGGATAGTCAGAGCTAGAAAAGCCAATGAAAATGTCCTCTTTAACTGTATCGTTTGTAAAGGATTTAAAACTAAGGCTATGTCAAGCGAACCGACACCTCTGCCACCACACCGAGTTACGGATTGTGCTCCGTTTGAAATCATAAGGATTGATTTGGCTAAATCCCTGTTTTTAAAAAATGGTGGAAAGGTGTGGATCGCGCTGTCCACGTGCGCTGTCTACCGCGCCATTCACCCTTGAACTTGTAAATTCTCTTTCTAATGATGCTTTTCTTCTGGCGCTTCGTCGATTTGTTGCTAGGTGCGGACGCCCTAGAATAATCTATAATGATAACGGGACAACTTTTCGAGGTGCATTTAATGATTTATCATTGGGCTAAAGTACTAACGGAAACGGGAACTGAAAGGATACTCTGGAAATTTTGTCCACCTACTGCAGCTTGGTGGGGCAGGTTGGTTCGTTCAGTAAAAGAATAGCTGAAACCTACTTTAGGTAAATAAGTGTTATCATATGAAGAACTTTATATTATTATTTGTGATTGTGAAACTGTAATTAATTGTAGACCCTTAACGTATGTTTCTGAAGATCCGCAGGAATTTTTCCACCATATTTCTTATCGAGAAGAGCAATTCCAAAGATCTTGATGAATTAAATTTGTCAAGTCTTAATAAGAGATTAAAGCATAGAACTAAATTGTTAAATGATCTGCGACAACGCTTTAGAAAATAATACGTTAGTCAACTGGTTGAAAAGCATAATGAAAAACGATCTCGGGAACCTGTAGTTGGAGAAATAGTACTGAAGGGGGATGATAACAAAAAAAAACGTTTATTTTGGCCCTTAGCCCGAATTACAGAATTGATCCCTGGACGTGATGGAAAGGATTCGCACGGTTAAACTTAAGACCCGGCATAGAACAGTTGTACGACCAATACAACGCATCTTTCCTCTGCAGATACAGGTTAATGACAGAAACATAATTCCTGATAAGAAACTGGGTGCAGAGGATACTAATTCTTGGGCTGAACGTAAGTTAAAGGGAGGAATTGCACCTAATAAAATGGTAATGCAACAATATTCTTCCTCTGAACGACTTGTAAAAGCTCCAAAAAGACTTGATCTTTTAAATAATGTTTTTTTATGAGTTTGAGACTGGGGGGGGGGGCTGTGAAATGAGCTGAAATAATAACTGGCGAAAGGCGCTGCTGTTCATGACGTCAGCTTGCATGCTGAGTGTTTCGAATGTTTTCCACATAAGATGACTATTTCAATTTTTGAGCAACATCACTATACTGACGTGGACATTTTTTAATAGATGCTTTACAGATGCGATCAACAAGTAGGTTCTCGAACAAACTCCAAACACAACTCTGCAATGCCTATAAATTAATTGTCTTTCATTGCATGGGGAAAAAAATCTGAGAAAATCTCTATCTTTAGATGCGACGGATAACATTAAGAAAGCCTTTCCAATATCGGCACTAATACCTATCGGATACATCCTAAAACAACCTATAATATCGGGTACTAATTCAATAAGATTCATTCCTTTACACACACATTCGTTCAAAGAGAGTTTCCTTTTCTCAGAGCCAGAGGTGTCAAAAACAGGAGGAATTTTTGTGGTTTCACTTCCTAATTTGATTACAGGCCTATGCGGCAAATAATGACATTCATTATTCAGTTCGTTTTCTGTTACGCATTCACTAATATTCAACCTTTCTCATTCCCTGAACACATTTTGGTAATCATCGAACAATTTACTACATCTGAGTTTACAGATCATCTTTTGATTCCTTTTCCAGGATAATTCTTTATTATCGTTTATGTATATAAACTCATGACATGTGTAGTATCACATTTCCACGGAAGTTCTACTTCATATCTTCCGTCTGGAAGAATTTTCATTTTATTCTCAAATTCAGATAAATTAAAACCTTCTTTCATTTTAACAGTTTCGATTGGAGCGCATATTCCTATTTTTTCGAGTTTCCATAACTAATTCAAAAGAATTCTCCTGACGTGCATTTAAAACGTTTCCAAAACATTATGCTTTTCACCCGAATTTCGTTTTCCAAATACAGTCCACTCAAGTTTCGTTTCGACAGCCGTTACCCCCGATTGCAATTCAATAGAACGTGTCCGTCAATAATTTACCTATAACATCTGCTCCGATTAAAAGGTTAATTTCAGTTTTTCTTTTTTTTTTTTTTTTTTTTGCAATGGATCAGAAAATTTCATTTCCTTTTCCTTTAATTCATTCAAAAATCATCCTTAACCTTCGAAGTAAAACCGCAAATCCTTTTTTCAGAAAGTGCTTCAAAACTACATTCGAACGTTCCCTTTAAATTGCTAACCTCGACTGATAATATTGACGGAAATTCTTCTATGTTTCTTTTTTGCACCTTTCAGCATTTCATGTAGCAGTGCTTGCATTTTTGCAGCATCTTTCAAATACCTGCGGTAAAAATTCAGCATGCCTAGAAATGTACGTAGGTCATGCAAGGTTCTTAGTAACTTGTAATCCAAGATCACTTGAACTTTGGCAAGGAGAGGATCCCAAGAATTCTATTTGGTCAACACCCATTATAGGTTTTGCTACGTTAATACGAAGGCTATAAGTATTCAGCCTCTCAAAAACTAACTTAAAGTGCTCTTTGTGTTCTTCTTTTGATGAGGAAGCCACTAGCACATCATCTAAATATGGAAATAAGAAGTTCAGGCCGTGAAAAACCTCATTTATAAAATGTTCAAATGTAAATGGGGCATTTCGTAGGCCAAAACTCATGACATTGAATTCATATAAACCAAATGGCGTAATGATGACAGTTTTTAGACCGCCTTTGTTCACTCTCGTGCACGACAACTAGGTCCTCCAAAATTGGCACTAGCAAAGCAGGAGTTCCAATTTATGTTGGATAATAATATAATTCGACCATCAAAATCTCAATGTGCTAATCCACTCCACTTAGTTAACAAGAAAGATGGCACACTACGTCCCTGTGGTGATTATAATTATCCGATTGTTTCCGCGATAGGTATTTGATAATAAGCCGTAATAAGATAGATTTTAGAAAAGATAACTTTATTTTGCAAGATCAAGTTGAAATACTCTATCATCGATCAAAATAGTTTGCTCGTTTAAACGCCTATAATCACCACAGGGACGTAGTGTGCCATCTTTCTTGTTAACTAAGTGGAGTGGATTAGCACATTGAGATTTTGATGGTCGAATTATATTATTATCCAACATAAATTGGAACTCCTGCTTGGCTAGTGCCAATTTTGGAGGACCTAGTTGTCGTGCACGAGAGTGAATAAGGCAGTCCTTTGCTAGTAATGTAGTGCTTAACAGAGGTACTCAAAATATTAGGTTGTGTGATATCTGGATATAATTTAAGTAAATCAGAAAACTCTGAAGATTGATCAAAAGGCTAATGCACTGCTTATCAGTTATAGACATAATATCACTGTTGACATATAACTGGGTAATACCATCAATCAATTTTCTTTTGTGAATATCAATCAGAAGGTGAAATCTATTTAAAAAGTCAGCACCAATAATTCCTTTACTTACCTTGGCTACCACAAAAGGCCACTGGAATGGCCGTCGTAGTCCTAGATCGAGAGTTAAAGTTCTGAATCCAAAAGTTGGGATTTCAGTTCCATTAGCTGCATACAATGTGTAGGAGCAAGGTTTTTCTGCTTTTAAATTTGCTGGAATGAGCATCGCTAAATCTACTAAAAACCGTAAACCCGTTTTTCTGTCCTTCACAAATAATCGGAATTTGCGGCAATCTGGACTCATTGCAACAGAACTTGCCGCCGGTTCATGTTTTCCGATTATTTCCAGCTGCAAGGTTCCTTGCATTTTTCTGAGAAGCACTTCTTGCCAAACTTGAAGTGGTAATAGCAGTATTTTACTATTTGCATCGAACCTCTTCCTGGATCTCTTGCGACTCGTACTGCGATTTCCACTAGGACTCCGATATCGGGAGTTACGGGCAGTCATATACGCTATTTGAAGTTCCAAAGCAGAAAACTTATTTAAGAGCTCGTCCACCGGAACAGTATTCCTGTTAAGACTGGCAAGTTCCGATCGTGGTTGCATTTCCAATATTTTATCTGTTATGGTAGCTAATTTTTCCAAGTCCTCGTCACTTACACTCAGCATATGTTTCACCGCATCGGGCATTTTTTCAAGCCAAGTTCGTAGCATTTTGTCGGAAATATCATCCGTGTCACCGAGTGATCTCATTCTGCGTAGTAGCTGGCTGGGTTTCGTATGATCCAGTTCTAATCCCGTAAGGAGACGTTTGATTTTGAGATTTTCACTTTCTTTAAATGTCTGCATCAAACGCGCTTTTAGCAGCGGAATATTTATTGATTCCAGCATCCCTAAATTTATCCCAGATATTTTCGATAAATCGTGGTTCGAGTTGGGCCACGAGGTAATTGAACTTCGTCTCCCGCTGGTTATTCTGCTAATGGCGAACTGGACTTCCATTTGGTAGAACCAAATTTCTGGTTTGTCGACCCAGAAAGGAGGTATTTTTACCCTAACTCTGTTAGCCTCGGCCTTATCCTCGACCATGGAAGGCTGTAAGTACTTAGTAAGAGGTAATCGATCATTAACGGCCTTTACCAATATACTTGAATTGTATTATACTTGAATTTTAAATGCTTGAGAAATCGAGTAATTTGTATCCAATAATATGGATGTACTTGTGCACATGCTGTGCTAGAACTCAGAGATTACTAGCGACTGAGGCTCCTGTGCCGCCGTCCGTAGAATAAATAAACTTTGAACAAACGAGGGGTCGTGTGGCGCCGTCTGTTAATAGGGATGAAAAGTATTTTAGTTGACTAGAGCTCCGGTTGTACCATCTCTTGCAGGATGTATTGTAAAGCATGCTGCAATATGTCTTTAAATCGTTTGCGAAACCTCAATCTCGTGAACTTAAATTGTAGATGCGGAACGTAAAGTCTGCGTCGGATTATCGCTCGAGGGCGAAGAGTTCTAGTCGTTTTTAGGGAAGATAAACTAGGTTGTCGCCAGTTTATATCTCTGTGAAGGAACTGCGGCGGGTTTACAATTTCTATGAACATTCTCAGTTTTGTTCTAATTTTTTTTATAATTGAAAACATTACATATTTAACATGTTATATACCTGGTGCACAATTTTGTTACATTTTAGAAATCGTTCATACATGTAAGTTTATGAGCATTAAATTAATAAATCCACAGATACAAAATCTATTTCTTAATTACAAATATACACCCAAGTGCCTATTAATATACGAATAAACATGAAAATTTTCTGCTCAGAGCTTCATACATAGTAGCTATTAAAATTACCTTTTATATCTTAATATAAAAACAGAAATGCGCAAAACACATGGGTAAAGGGACGATAATGCTATGTTTAAATTTGGTGAATTGTCGAATTTTAATAAAGGGAATCTTGAGATTTCTAATTCCTTTTATCGGGAATAATTGTATTCGTTAGTAATTTTTTATCACCGCTTTTACCGATTTGTCTGACTGAAGTTGATACAAAGAATATGTATTGTTAAGAAGGAAAGCTTCGCAGCAGCAGGAGCGGCTCCCTCCGAACGAAAAGGACACAACTGCAAAAAGCGGCAAAGCTCGAAACTGATGTCGAAGTTCGAACAGGTTCGACGGTCACGTTTATCAAGAGTTTAAAGCTGTGTGACTCCATTTCTTTCCCTACATATTGACAAAGTAAGTAAAAAGCACGAAAAATTGAGTTTAAATTATCGCGAAAAGTCAAAGAACGATTCATCTTAACCCGTGTTCCTCAATTTCCTGTACACGTGGAGGAGGTGGAAAATCTCGGCCAGGTACATCACAAAGCGGGAAATTCTCGCCAACAGGTTCCGTCGCCAAATCCCTTGAAGAATTGTCCCTCTTCTTTCTAGCGGCGTAGAAGACAAACTGGTTTACATTACTTCTATGGAGCCTTTCCTTCTTTACATAGACTTTCTTTGGTTGATATCTCTGATACAGAATTCCGTGGTTCAATGTCGAGATCATGAACCCCAATTTCTTTTTCTCCAATTACATAAAAAAACTACAGTTGCAAACAACATTGTTCCAGTCCTGCCATCGAACATTTTTAGGTATATCAAGAACCTCAAAATTAAGAAAATCCCTAATATCCACAATGCCACCAACAAAATGGCTTTAAAATGTTGCCTCTCAAGCTGATTTTCAAGCTCACAAAACTTTATATTGTAATCTTTCGTTGGCAATATTTTCCTGCTGAATGGAAAACTGCTAGTATTATGGCCATTCTAAAGCAATCTGGCCGAGATATACTAGCCTATCAACATTTTAAAATGAGCAAATTATGGAGGCAATAATACTCGAAAGAGTTGAAGAGCACTTGGACAGGTACAGGTACAGGCAGAAGCTAGGCCAGCACCTCCGTAGTACCACAGGTAATTGAGGTATTGCTGGACCTAGCTAACTGTTAAACTTTCCACCCCAATTTTGAGGGAGAACACCCCGGGGGGTGGTCCGAGGTTCTCCCTACCCTCTTTTTTT